AAAAAAAAAAAAAAAAAAGAACTAATGAAAACCAAAGAAAGCAAAGTAAAAGCATATAATAAATTTTGTAAAGTACTGAAAAGGGAGGAAATCAAAGCCCAAGTTAGTTATTATAAAAGATTAATCAACTGATAAACCCTAACCAAGACTAGTAGAGAAAATACAAAAATTACTAATGTCAGGAATGACATTACAGATCCTACAGTCATGAAAAATAGTTTTAGAACATTAAACGATTTTATGCCCATAAACTGACAATTCAGATAGGTGAAAGATAGAACAACTTACCACGTTGAGACATGCAAAAATTTCCTACACCAAGTCACAAAAAGGAACTTTTTAACAGAAGTTTAAAAATCTACAGTTTTGACTACAATAAGTTTTAAAGCTTCTGTTCCTCAAAAAACACTTCAACCTTCCTTTAAGGGAGGTAAAGCACAAGCTGTGAGAGTGGGACATGTCTGAATATGTAATAACAAAGGGCTTGTATTTAGAATATATAAAGAATTACTTAATACATAAAAATACAAACAAGAGCCAAAAGACTGGAAAAAGAGCATCACAAAAAGGTGATGGTGATATCCACAGCTGATCTATACATGAAAACCTCATTAAGAAATCATCAAGGAGGCCCGGTGCAGTGGCTTATGCCTATAATCCCAGCACTTTGGAAGGCTGAGGTGGACTGCTCACTTAAAGTCAGGAGTTTGAGACAAGCATGACCAACATGATGAAACCCCATGTCTACTAAATACACAAAAAATTAGCCAGGCGTGGTGACACATGCCTGTAGTCCCAGCTACTAGGGAAGCTGAGGCACAAGTATCACTTGAACCTGGGAGGCAGAAGTTTAGTAACTCGGATTGTGCCACTGCACTCCAGCCTGGGTTTTCAGAGAGACTCTGACTCCGCACCCCGCCCCCCACCCAAAAAAAAAAAAAAGAGAGAGAGAGAGAAATCATCAAGGAAATGCAAATTAAATCCACAAAGAGATCTCACAGTATAACTTCCAAAAAGGCTAAAATGAAAAACAGACAATACCAAGTATGGCAAGATGTGGGAAAAACAGTAACTCTTCTGTGCTGTTCAAAAGTGTAAACTGGTACAAACACTGTAAAGCTGCAGTATCTTCTAAAGTTGAACATACAAACACTTGTACAATTTGGGTGCTGGTTATTCAAGTACATTTGATTTCTGCACTTTTCTGAATTAATGTATGTCGTCTTAAATGCTTAATAAAAACAAAACAAGGCCTCAGACTCCTGAAGTGTACTTTGTTTTAAGATCTCAAAGTAGCCGGGCGTGGTGGCTCAAGCCTGTAATCCCAGCACTTTGGGAGGCCAAGGCGGGTGGATCACGAGGTCAGGAGATCAAGACCATCCTGGTCAACTTGGTGAAACCCCGTCTCTACTAAAAAAAATACAAAAAATTAGCTGGGCATGGTGGTGCGTGCCTATAATCCCAGCTACTCAGGAGGCTGAGGCAGGAGAATTGCCTGAACCCAGGAGGCGGAGGTTGCGGTGAGCCGAGATCGCGCCATTGCACTCCAGCCTGGTAACATGAGTGAAACTCCGTCTCAAAAAAAAAAGATCTCAAAGTTATTTTAATTTATAATAAATCCAAGTTAATTACCTTGTAGAGGATTTGCATAGGTTTGGTGAGTTCCACATTTCTAAGGAAAGGAGCTAAATATTTGAATAAATCAATCAGTAGCTGTGCATACATAGGCCACCCCTGAAAGAAAGAAATATACATGAGTCATAATTATACTCAGCTGTTTTTCAACCACTAGAAGTCACCCAAGCAGCTACACTGACTTATTTTCTTCATGCTAATGTAAGTAGAGAATACTAACGGTGTACCTCTACTAAAGATTGGCATTAAAGGCCGGGCACAGTGGCTCACGCCTGTAATCCCAGTACTTTAGGAGGCCGAGGCGGGTGGGTGGATCACCTGAGGTCAGGAGTTCAAGACCAGCCAGGCCAACATGGTGAAACCACATGTCTACTAAAAATGCAAAAAATTAGCCGGGCATGGTGGCAGGCACCTGTAATCCCAGCTACTTGGGAGGCTGAGGCAGGAGAATTGCTTGAACCTGGGAGGTGAAGGTTGCAGTGAGCCGAGATCATGCCATTGCACTCCAGCCTGGGCAACAAGAGTGAAACTCCATCTCAAAAAAAAGAAAAAAAAAAAAAAAAGATTGGCATTTAAAAGGACTTAAGTTATTATGAAGATAGTGAGAAATAATATTTGAAACAAACAACTGGCTCCAGAGATTTCAAGACATAATGATCTCTGTGTGCTTGTAGCAAAATTTAAAAAGGGAGGATGAAACCTTGAGGAAACTTCTGATAGAACACAAAACAGTCAACTGCATAAACTAACAAGAAATCTGTTTTCTTAATTCCTTATTGAGTCTCAATCATTTCTTCTCCCTCTTGCAACCCAACTCTTGGCAAATAATCTTGTTAAGTCCACAACATGAATCCTCTATTTTCAGACAAAGTTGGCTTGCTCACCCTTTCACAACCATACAATGAATTATTGGATAATTGTATTTCATATGTTGTGTTTCTTCCTCCTAGAATGCTGGTCTCCACCAAAGAAAACCAACTTCATTTAAGGGCTATTTCACCTTCCTTTTTTTTGTCAAGTTCCCTCCATATTACATAGCAGTCACATTTCTTTTGATCCGAAGGGCCAAATAATGGTAGTTTCTGCAGTATTCATTTGCCAATTTAATTCCAAGATGGGAGGAAAAAAAACTTCTCATGTTAACTGTATTGTATTACCAATTAAATTAAGAACTCTTTAACAGAACTTGATCATAATCCTTCAAAATAAAGTAGTCCAGTAGACCTCAGCCTTAAGTGTGAGAACTTCAGCATTTAAGAGTGAAAATCTATAAAACCAACAAGCTCCAGAGCCCTATTACCCAGAGATTTATTCAGATATTTAGGAGGGCACACATGGATTTTAACTTTAAAAAAAAAAACTGGCAGGGCACAGTGGCTGATGCCTGTAATCCCAGCACCTTAGGAGGCCAAGGCAGGTGGATCACGAGATTAGGAGTTCGAGACCAGCCTGGCCAGGATGGTGAAACCCCGTCTCTACTAAGAATACAAAAATTAACCAGGCACAGTGGTAGGCGGCTGTAAACCCAGCTACTTGGGAGGCTGAGGCAGAAGTGCTTGAACCAGGGAGGTGGAGGTTACAGTGAGCCGAGATTGCACCACTGCACTCTAGCCTGGGCAACAGAGCAGGACTCCGTCTCTAAATAAGTAAAAACAATACCCCTTCCCCCTCTCCCCCTAAAAAAAACCCTTTACTGACAAATATATAAATCATTCTGTGCATACAGAAGCAAAACATTTTAAGCGAAAGAAAGGAAAAAAATAAATAAAACCTTGAGAGACTGACACAGGTGACCCACAACTGACTTGAAGCAGCAACACCTAATCACTGAGGAATGGCTTTCAGGCAGAGGCAGTCAGGTACTTGGTTAAACCTCTCTCAAGACTTGAGTGAACAATAAACAGAACTCTCAACTAAGTTTGGAAGAAGTATAATGACTACTAAATGCTAATAGAAATCTATAGGCAGTGCTGATAAGCCCATGTAGTTATAGTCTTATACAGGAGATAAACTGCAGCCACACCTTCTGCTGTGGCGTATGTGCCAGCATTCTTGCAATAAATATCCGATGGGAAATCAGTTCAAGCCAGGCATATACAAAGCCAGGAGCTTTGGTAGGCCTCAAGATGTGGAATGTATTGCTGAAAGAAGAAAAACCTTAGTCAGAAGCACGGTCCAACTTAAAAACAGTGAACAGCACATGAACGAAGGCTCAAAGGGCTCAAGGGTTCTATTCCTACAATTTTACTATATTAATCCAGCAAACCTTAACACGAAATCTCAAACACAATACTCACCAGAAAGCTGTAAGTGTCTGAAAATTAATGGTTTCCAACACATGCTCAGGTGCATTGAGTTCCAAGAGCAGCATGATAAAAATTCGATGGTAAGGAAGCTGCTGAAATTCACTCTGACGAACATCATGATCCTGAAGGAGAACTCCCACTACTATACCAAGGACCTATATAAAACACAAATTAGAGCTTATTAATCATTCGATAATTCACTCACCACTTTGAAGTCATGCTTTTTAAACTTTGTATTCTTAAACCCGACAAAAAGGAATGCATATATGCCATTTGAATACAAAATTACATGCTGGTAGCCGATGGGGCCATCAATTGGTTTTACTCAGCCTTCAGTGTTTTGTTTGTTTCCCTGAATTTCAACAGCCTTGGACCACACCTGAATATTTGCTACCAATGGCCAATGGTTTTTCTTCAGCTCTAGAAATCAGGAAGGCCCCTTATATTTCACCATGTTAACAGAATATAACAATCTAATTCTTCTGGTCTGACAAGAAGTTGATATATGGCAGTAATTTACATTTGTCTTGGCATTTAGTAGGTAGGGGGCAGTAAGCTGTTAGGTTGCAGAGATCCCATTCCACTTGACTTGCCCACTGAACAGTGAGGGACTTGAAGAACACATCTCTTAATTTCCCAAATCCAAAATCAAAGTCCATTTTTACACATTTTTTTGTACTGTTTAAATATTCAAATTTCCAGGAACTCTGCTGTGTACATCAAGCCAATGACTAATGTCACTCATGTACTTGAGCTGCCAGTCTATCAGAAGGCACTTCTAGCCACCCACTCACAGTGATTCTCTGTATGAGGCAAATTTGTATTAGTCAATACCAAGTATTAACATTGAAATACATTATGATCTCTTTCTTTTTATACTTCAGTTAAGGCACTATATTCTATTTCTAAGACACGGCGGTCTACAAATTTAATTCAAGAACAGAAAAAAGGCATCAACAAAATGTTTTGAGGAAGGGTTGGCCCCAATAGGGTTAAGAACCACTGATGTGGTCGGGCATGGTGGCTCATGCCTATAATCCCAGCACCTTCAGAAGCCCAGGCAAGCAGATCACTTGAGGCCAGGAGTTCAAGATCAGCCTGGGCAACATGTTGAGACCCTGTCTCTACTAAAACTAGAACATTCTAGACATCAAGACTAATGCCTGTATTCCCAGCTACTTGGGAGGCATCCATTCTTGGTGACACAGTGATGCTCTCTCGAAAAAAAGAAGAAAAAAAAAACACCCTAGAGATGTAGACTAAGACTAAGGCAAGAAAAGATTTCAGACCTTGTTCAGCAGATTAATCTTTGTGACAGTGTTGGTGGCCTCCCCTGAGTGTTTCACGAGCAGTGCAATGAGTCGAACAAAGGCATCCAGGTTGTGATAGCACTTGGCTCGGATCATAGTGGGATTAGCAGCAGGATTGTGCTGCTGCTCAGCTTGAGCACGGTAACTGATTTCAACACACATTTCAGTACACAGACGAAAGAACCGTGTTATGAGATCATCAGTCTTTAGTATTCCTTGCTGGTGCATCTACCACAGGAACAAAAAACAGAGACACAATGAGATAACACACAAATAAACTTCATATACCTTTAATTTTCATGTTAAAAGTATACTCTCATTTGTTCCTACTGTCATATTTCTAATTCTTACATTGTAAAAAATGTGTCATCAGGAGAATTATTTTCCCATTAAGGTGCCATGACAGAATTCATCCAGTTTTTAGAAGAGAGAAGATGGAAACCGACAGATAATATCATGGCAATTTGGATCAGGTCACCACAAAATAATGTGGAAAATTAACCATGCAAATAAAATCAACTGTTAGTAACTCTCTAAATCATATTCAGACATTGTGAACTCCAAGGAGGAGACTAAATAACATCTATTTTACTTCCTCACAGAATTTAAGATAATTTACTTCTCAAGGATTTGAAGATAATTTCCACAAACTGATTTAACCAGTAACAAAGCTTTTAAAACTGCAGCTACCCCCAGAAAAATCAGTAATTTGTACAATAGATAAGCGCCAAATGGAAATACATACAAATCTAGTCTAAGTATTTTAATGTAATGAAATGTTATATTAAGTTAAAACAATGTGGGAAATGCAAGTTATTTAAAAGAAAGGAAAAATTAGAAACTATATGACATATACACTAGAACTAATGCATGGCGGGATTGTTATTTGGCTAGTTCTCATCACCCCTTAAAAAAAAAAAAAAGACAACAGTGAAATACACATTAAGGCTACAGAGGAAGAACAGGTCAGTACTCACTAAAGAAAGAAACCAAGCTCAGAAAAAAAACTTCAAGGTTATCTTTAAATTTTTGAAATAACTGTCCCTGATAAGCAGTTAAGACAACTGAACTGGTTAAGACTATGATAATATCGTACCCTTGCTGGGACAGAATGCCAGCATGGCATAAGGACTTTTTGTCTACATTGGTATCTGAAAAACTAACAGAGAGAGAGGAATAAGGACAGAGTGCTGTGATCAAGGAGGAGCAAAAGGAGGAAAGAATTTTCAAAAGGATACGAAACAGGAAAGTGTAATATACTATCTTTTTCAAGAGAAAGAAGAAATGAGAGCAAATAAGCCAACAGGAAGGGCAGAAACAGGTGCCACATCCATACCCATGAAATAGCAATGGTCACAAAGACCAATGGATTCCAATTTCTTCCTTTCAAATTATAAATCAGACTACAAACATGCAGTAACAGCTTTTCAGTAGGGTATGTTTTGTAATTCCCTGGATTCTTTCGGGGAGAAATATACTCAGTATGATTTACTGAGTAACATTCATTTTGAAAAGTAAATCCAATTTCAAATAACTTTTAGAATTCAAGTCAGCCCTTCCACATTCAATTGTCATTTATTTGAAAAGAGACCTGATTTGTCACCTTTCTTTACCAATATACCTCAATTTTGGGTTCAGTTTGAAGAAATTTAATGGTCAATCTGCAGAAATAAGCAGATAACTCGCCCTGAAAAAAACATCACAGCAGTTCTAATATAGGAAATTCCAAGGTCAATTCAGTTAAAGTACCACTCTTGCCAAGTTATAACTGGGACACATGGACTTAATGGGTCTGATTCCCTCACAGTCGCTGAAAGGAGCCAGTGACAATCAAAAACAGAATGCTAAATGGTACTATGGCTCCCTTTTCATGTTCATCCTATTCACAAACATTCCTGATTTTCAGCTAGGAGCTTTGATCCTAACACTTTAACTCAAAAGTCCAATTTGCATTAAATCTAATGAAAAGAAATACTTGAAATTATTTTCCAAAAAAAAGTCACTATGTTTAAATAAATATTTAAACTAGAAAATACCTTAAAACACTCTACCATTTAAATAGTTAAGCATTTTGTTTTGTTGTATCTTTTTAATGTGGGCTACTGTGAGAATTTTACATATTTATTAGCCCACGGTCCCATCAGTGCTAGTAAAATTACATTTGGCAGTTTCATTATTCATTATCTGACCCATTGTACTTTGTAGCTGTGACAACTGAAATGGAATATACAGAACCAACAATGGGCAGGAAACGTTGACTTTATTGCTTAGTGATCAACCATGAGAAAACAGGCTATAATTTGACCATATAATGATGACATTTTTTATTTGCATGAGTATGGAAGTAACTGTCTGACAACAGGGAAGTAATACTGAGCTTTAATATTGGAGGCATCACACCCTACTTATGTTGAATAAAAAGCACCTTTCTTTCCAAAAGCTCTACCTGTCCAACAAACGCAGAGAAAGCTTTGGTACTGTCGCGGCCAGCTGCTGCTGAATGGTAGAGATTCACCCATTCCCTCAGAAGATACTCTGCCTTCTCCCTCAGGCCTGGAGGGTCATCGTACTCTGAGGCTTGAGAGATCCCAGAATGCATCATAAAGTTTGGGCCTCCATGAGCACGATCAATCATTGCTTCATAGTTGGATCGCACTACTTCCATCAGCTGGGGCAATCTAATACAATAAATCCATGGTGAAAATCAGTCTACTCATAGTTGTCATTTTACAGACACAGATGGATAAATTACTTATTTAACAGCAACCACAAGAGTGGCTTACCACTTCACTTTACCACTTCCACACTGAAGCAAAACTATCCTTGGTCTCTTCTTATCTGCTTATGAGCACATAACATGCAAATGACTGCCCTCAGTTAAGTTACTTCTTTTTTTTCTTTTTCTCTTTCTGAGACGGAGTTTCACTCATGTTACCCAGGCTGGAGTGCAATGGCGCGATTTCGGCTCACCGCAACCTCCGCCTCCTGGGTTCAGGCAATTCTCCTGCCTCAGCCTCCTGAGTAGCTGGGATTACAGGCACGCACCACCACGCCCAGCTAATTTTTTGTATTTTTAGTAGAGATGGGGTTTCACCATGTTGGCCAGGATGGTCTCGATCTCTTGACCTCGTGATCCACCTGCCTCGGCCTCCCAAAGTGCTGGGATTACAGGCTTGAGCCACCGCGCCAGGCAGTTAAGTTACTTCTTGCCCAAAATATGTGTTCACTGAAATGAAGCTGATGTTCAGAGTCAATAAATATTCGCTGCTTGCCTACTATGTACCATGCTTTCTTTAGGTTACTTCTCTTGATTTTCAATCGTTCTTTGAGAAATTATTTCCTTTTTATATAAGGAATAGGTTGCCAGAGCACGGTGGCTCACGTCTGTAATCCCAGCACTTTGGGAAGCCAAAGCGGGTGGATCGCGAGGTCAAGGGATCGAGACCATCCTGGCCAAGATGGTGAAAAAGTCTCTTTAGAAAAACTAGCTGGGCGTGGTGGCACGTGCCTGTAGTCTCAGCTACTCAGGAAGCTGAGGCAGGAGAATCGCCGGAACCCAAGAAGCAGAGGTTGCAGTGAGCCAAGATTGCACCACTGCATTCCAGCCTGGTGACAAAGTGAGACTCTGTCTTTAAAAAAAAAAAAGTTTAAGGAGGGTAAGTCAATTTGCCTAAAATCAGAAAGCTTTTAAGTGGCATGACCAGGGCTTAAACACAGGACTCTGACACTAAGTCTGGTACCATATGTACTGCTCTACGCCAAAAAGGCTTGGCAGTAAATTAAGCTTTTGCCCTCACCGAAGCTACTCACCCACAGCTTGTTGGTAAAGCAGTTACAACAAGTAATCTTGGTAAGTCTGCACATTCATTCCTAAAGATACTAGGAGACTACTAAATGCACAGGGATCTCAAAGCATTTCATCCTCACCCTTCTGGAGCATTGCCTCTGGAATGAGCATTAATTCTCATGAGGGTTTCAATGGTGTGGAATAGATCTGCCTCGGTAACATGGGCAACGCTCCTTTCATCCACCAGCAGGATTTTCACCAATTGCATAGCAAATGCCACAGCCATGTAGTTTAAACCATTCTCCATTGACTGGCAACACAGAAAACACAATTTAAGAGGGAAAACACTTAAGAGCAAACATACTTCCCGGAGTCCTTTTGTCCCTGCAAGTAAATTCCTTCCATACCTGCGCTAGGTGAAGATCATACTGCTGCATATTAACTAAATGATTGCGAATTAGCAGCTCCACAGCCTCCACATTATATTTATATTCATCCCGACATTCAATTAGGCACCTAGAAAAGGTTCAAATGTCTTTATTCATCTAACCTTTATACAGTATGGCTATACTGTATAAAATAAAGTGCTCATTTTATTCATGGGAATTTGCTCCAAATTAAGAATGCCTTGAGATTCAACACAATCAGTGTCCAAATTTAAAAACAGCCAGTAATGAAACAGAACAACAGATAGCCCAGGTTTTGCTTTCAAATCCTAGGAAACAGAGGATTCCATTTAAGACATTAACGTACTTATACATGAATAACACTTCTGAGAAATCACTAAAACCTTTTAAAACAATGACCTATAATTTATTCCCCAAAACAAGGTACTGGTTTTTTCTATATCCAACATGAGGAGAAGGTAGAGACCAGATGGAAAATAACTACTTAACAATTCTCACCTCTCAGAAGTAGAAAGTCCAAGTGTCCCTCCAATCTACCTACTAGAAAAAAGGGAAACCCCTGGACATAAACAGTGCTATCTATATCGAAAAGGCGATCGTAGTCCAACACTCACAACTATTCCAAGATGGCTACTGACCTTGTGATCTGTTTGTTGCACCATGGAGACCCATATGCCCGGCCATCCTGCAGAGCTTTTAGTACCAAGAGGTGGCATTCCCTGTAGCGCAGCAGCAAGTCAGCATCAGCACCACTTGTGGCATCTAGTAAGCCCTCTACAGCCTATGAGAGAAAGAAAGCGTTCAAAACCATGGAAAATACAGTGCTCAGCCCCAACTATCACAGTCAGAAATCAAATCTCAACGCCCACTACCAAATACCTTCCAAAGCCTCAAGACTGTCCTTTCCACTCTCCAAACATCCTTTTCAGTTGCTTATCACACAGACTCTAAATTCTATCTAGTTAAGTTCATTTTGTGTTCTTCATTTTCATAAAAAGCTCTGCTGTAGTTAAAACCCAAGGCTCCCTACCTATCCTGATCCAAATTCTTGGATCAACCTGTCCCTGAAAATCTAAAGGGCAGCTGGGCTCACTGGCTCATGCCTATAATCCCAACACTTTGGGAGGCTATGGTGTGAGGGCCACTTGAGTTTGAGAATAGCCTGGGCAACAAAGCAAGACCTGTCTCCGCAAAAAAATTAAAAATTAGCTTGGCATGGCAGTGCACACCTGTAATCCCAGCTATTCAAGAGGCTGATGTGGGAAGCTCACGTGAGCCCATGATCACATCACTGTACTCAAGCCTGAGTGACAGAGAGAGACCCTGTCTCTTACATACACACACACACACACACTCTCTCTCTCTCTCACTCAAGCGCTATCTTTTAAAGGTTCTAAAAATCACATTTCTGAAATATCTTTAAGAAAAATATAAAGATTTCCAACGTTACCATTCAAAACTTCCATGACTGCATTCTACACTGGAAAAAAAAAAATCACCTACTTATAGAACTTGATTTCTATTAAGAATTCTTAAATGTAACTGCATAAATATGCAGATGGTGGTGCAAGTCACTGAACGTTTACACACCTAGTATTTTCTACAAGTAATAGCTTAAGAACCAACCTTTTGGAGCAATCCAAGAGCAGCTATGGCATCCCGAGAGTTTCGAGATAAAACTACAACCTCCAAGAGACTTCGAAGAGCCTGAGCTTGCGGGTTCATGGCCAAAGTTGGTGGGATGGCATGCAGATGCTGCTCCAGTTCTGTAATACACTTATCATAAATCTGAGCTACATCATCTGTTGCCCAAGCTTGCTGTTTTAGAGAAGGAAACAACCAACAAGAGACAAAAGAATGTTAAGGTTTTTTATTGACACATGTATCAAACAGAGGTCTATTAATATGTTTACTCCCTTTTTCTTATTTTGACATTCAAACATGGAGGACTTCTTCCATTCCTTCTTCCTGAGCTATTCAGTATTAATACCATCAGGTGGGGCAGTACAAGGCAGGCAAAAGGGAAGAGCTGCTTCATTTGAGACAGGAAAACCTGTCAGACAGCAGCATAATCAAGTGATCGAAGAGATCATCAGTAATAATGAGACAGACTGAGAGCAACACCACCTGTACCATCTACTAAGACATCTACATCCTAAGAAAGTAAGTATTCCAAACCGTGAAAAAATACAATACTCAGTCCAACTGTCAAAGCCTGATAGGACAGAGTAAGAATAGAAGATTACTTCTGAGTTATTCCTATTTTCAAAAAACGCATTACCTGAATCCAGTCATGAGAATACACTGGACAAACAAATCAAACCATTTAGAAAATAATTAGCCTATAATCTTCAGATGTGTTATGGTCATGAACGATTAAAAAAAAAAAAAAAAGTTATCTACACCAGGTAGAACTGAGGGAGACTTAAAAAATAAGACAACGGAAGCAATGTGAAGCAATTCTAAAGTCTTTTAGTACACATTACTGGGACACTTGGTGAAACTTCAATGAGGTCTATGAATTAATTAGATGGAGTAAGGTATTAGTATTCATTTCTGAGCTTAATGGTTGTACCATGGTCACACAGAAAAAAGATTTTGTAAACAAATACAAACCAAAGGATTCAGGAGTGATGGGGACATCAGGTCAGAAACTTACTCAGGGGGAAAGTGTTTTTTCCCTATATTTCAAAGCTTTCTGTAAACACCTTTGAAAATTTTAGGAAATTCTTTTATTTAAAAAGCAGGGGAAGGCTGGGAACAGTGGCTCAGACCTGTAATCCCGGCACTTTGGGAGGCTGAGGTGGGCGATCACTTGAGGTCAGGAATTCAGATCTAGCCTGGGCAACATGGCAAAACCTCATCTTTATAAAAAATACAAAAATTAGCTGAGCATGGTGGCACACGCCTGTAGTACTAGTTCCTCAGGAGGCTGAGGTGGGAGGATCGCTTGAACCTGGGAAGTGGAGGTTGCAATGAGCTAAGATCATGCTACTGCACTCCAGTGTGAGTGACAGAGAAGGACCCTGTCTCAAAAAAATAATTTTAAAAAAGACAGGAAGTTATGATGTTACCATGCAAATTCCCCTAATTTCCCCAAACATTAAAGTTAAATCACCCATGTCAATTTTTTCCTTAATCCCCTATATGTCATACTTAATTGGACAAAAAGAATACCTACAACTCAACAACTATGGGTTTTTCCTATAAATTATGCTCCGAGGAAGCAAGTAAAAAAATATATTAAATGTCAAAAACATTTAAATTAATTGGTAAAACACTCAATTTAATTTAATACACATTTACCTTCATGGGCTGAGCTAAAAATCCTGTGGGCTGACTTAGGTCATTTGTAGGCAAGAAGCCAGGAACATTGCGTGCAAACTCTTCATAAACAGCCAGCTGCTTTGGGTCCACACCACCAACCTTGAAAGAAGAAAACCTATATTGACAGAATTCGCTCAACAATCAAAAGAAATTGTTATGAAAGTGGAAGTCTGCATGTGGGTAAGCACAGAGACACAAGAATCATTACAATATATAACAGCATAATTAAGCATGCATGCACACACAAATGCAGTTCAAAGAGGGCTTCCCATTTCCCTGAATCCTGCTAAGAGTCACCCTCATTTATAAATTATTTGTTTCTCTTGGAAAATGCCTCATATGGGATGATGCCAGTGCAATTCTTCCTTGGAGCTGGTAAACATTATCAGATTTCTCACTGTCTCATTGGGAATAATAAGCAACTATTAATGGGAGAAGCCCAGGCTGGGAAACATGAACACTAGCAGGTACACGGACTCCTGACAGTAGCAGCACTTTGACAAATCTGGAGAAGCAGGGGCATTTAGAGCTATTTCATACCCGCTCCACAGGCAGCTATTAAGTGAAATGCTATCAAGTTAAGATGTTTTCTCATAAACAACATTTAACCCTGCTGTCCTAGTCCCATTAAGGAGTTCAATCAACAAGAACATTCAAAATAAAGCAAAGATGGAGCAGGGAGAGACAGAGCCCCAATTCTCACTTTCAGCCTGATTTGCTCTGGCATCCGTTCGGCTTGATAAGTTAAGACGACAGGATCACAGTATCTGCGTCCTTCTTGCCTAGCATGTTTTCTCAGCTCAAATTCCTGCAAACAAAAAAAGTCACTGAGGTTCTTGTTATAAGGCACTTCTTTAAATTAAAAAAGAAAATCTTAAAAGGCAAATTCTAAACACTTACAGTTGCTAATCTCTTGTCCATCTCAGGGCCTGCTTTTTCTACTGCGGTCTTCTGAATAAAACAGCAAGCCAACTCACAATTGTCCTGAGCTAATTGAGCAGCTGCCTGATCCATCATCTCCCTTTGTTGTGGGGAAGCAGTCTATTAATGGGGAGGGGGAAATTGAAGGAAAAAGACTTGAAAGTTGGCGTGGACAGACAGGATAGTAGAAAATACAGTGCATTTGGCAAATGCATTTTAAATTATGGCTCTACTTATAAATCAGCTGTGATCTTGAAATAGTCTTAATTGCTTCCTCACTTGCAAGATAAAAATACCCTATACACCTTATCAGTTTACTGTGAATATGCCTTAAAATCACTAAAGTAGGCCAAGCGTGGTGGCTCATGCCTGTAATCCCAGCACTTTGGGAGGCCAATGCAGGTAGATCACTTGAGGCCAGGAATTTCAGACCAGCCTAGCCAATGAGGCAAAACCCTGTCTCTACTAAATAAATACATAAATCAGCTGGGCGTGGTAGCACATGCCTGTAATCCCAGCTACTTGGGAGGCTGAAGCATGAGAATCACTTGAACCCAAGAGGTGGAGGATGCAGTGAGCTGAAATTATACCAATGTACTCTAGCCTAGGCTACAGAGTGAGATCCTATCTCATGAAACAAATGTTAAAAACAAACAAAAAATCAATAAAGCAGTAAACAAATCATTAATCATGATATCTGAATTATTAACCATGGTATCTGAGAGTCAAAACTAGTAACTGAATTATTTGAAGAAGGTATGTACACATGCAAAATCACTTTAGTTCATTTTATAATGGCCTTCTCAAACAGCTTTAATTAATTCTTCCTGGTTAACAGAAATGAGATTGTTAGATAATATATTCCTTTTTAAATCTTTATTTAAACCAACAAATATTTGGGTATCTACTATCTGACGAACATTGTGTTAAGGATATAACAGCCCCCCCAAAAAAAAAACAGACACGATGTTTTGCCTCACAGAATTACAATCTAAGATGATGGAAGACATCAAACAAATATGGTGATTATTAAGAATAAGTGGTAAAGTCCAGTGCCACATACAGGCACAGAAAAAAATTTTTACGAACAGTAATAAATTTTGTACCTACACCAAGGAAATAGCCAACTTACACGAAGGGCTGAGGCAAAACTGTTTTTTAGGTTGGTAGATATGCTCATGAGCAAAGGTTCTCTGCATGTAATCATAGCCATTCCAGCTGTCAAGTTACGCATCATGTGATGAGCTGCTATTCGCATTCGAGATTCCTCCGAATCCAGAGCAAAATCCTTCCTGACTATTTGCTCACAAGTAGTCATGGCAATCTTAATTGATCGATCCACCACAGGATGGACTAATTCCTGGACAGCCCGTTCAATTGCCTGACGCACACACTGCTTCAACTGTGGATGGGCCTGAAACAAGGGAATCTGGGGGATTGGGGAGGACAAAGTCAACACCTTGTTTAAATAAGACAATCCAATTCCTACTGGCAATCACACTCATGATTTTGTAAATCAAGGTTAACCAAAAATTACCAGTTTCTACTTAAAATTAACCAATGGAAAAATTCAAGTAACAGAAATTGGCCTCCAGTATTCAGCATACCCTGTGACACACAATGACAGGTATGTCTATTTTTTTAGTCCAAGTTTAATGAATAAATTGTTCATTATAACATGCATTAACTACTTAAAGACACACTACTGGCCTACTTAAAAATTTGTGGCTAAAGTACTCTTAAAGCAACTTCTCTACTAGCTTGGGAAAATATAAAAAGAATAAAGTTTATAGAAAAAAACTTCCTACAAAAACTATTAAAATTAAAATTAATTCATCAGATTAGTGATCATTTTACAGTACCCACTGAAATGTTTGGCTTCACTTGAAAGACTGTTTCTAGTCTTTTACTGCAGGTATAAATTATGCCCCAAAACTTACCTGGTCCCTTTAACTTACTGAATTTGTTATTTAAAAAAAAAAAAATTAAACCAGCATATAATAGTGTTCAGGTCACTGATGAATCACAATTTTAGATCTAGGTGTCCCACTGTCTCCCACTCCATCCCCCTAAACTAAGTATGTCTACAGGGATAGGAGTGGGGGGACAAGGTTAAAATAATTTCTCTGATAACCTTCCAATTCGTTTTAATACAAAATGTTCAATGTATTTATTAATGTTACTCTTGTATTTGTGAACATTTTCAGTTTCTAAAAAGTAATGACCATGAAAACTCCATTCAACTGATTCTGGATTATATGTTAAGTAGAAAAGGGCTAAATAAAGATAACAATAAAATGTCCCCTTGAATGTACAAAGCAAATACTAAGTATAGGGAAAAGGACTGATGAAAGGTCATCTTACATGACCTTATTGTGTATCAGACCTCCTTCTAGAACCAGGCCACAGCAACATAACTCAAATCACTAAGTCCTACTTCAAGATCATAGCCTAGAAATTTTATACACAGGCACAATCAGCTTATTTCCAGCCTTTGGCTAGAAGAAATGGTTTATTGTAGAAGGCTAAAGTGACATGATAAAGAAAATAAAAAGCAAAAAGCTATGGTATATACATTAAACATCTTTTACTCTGTGTAAGGAATTCCTAAAGAGTGTGATTATATTCAGCTAAATTTTAGTATCATGGGTTTGAATATGAGGAACCAATATAACCTACATCTGGTCACTCTACTTTTTAAGGGAAGAAAAAAAATCCCAACTGAACTACACAGCAGTTCTAGATCTCCATCCTCTCTGACAAACTCTACAATCTAGGAATCCAGAGGGAAAGGCAAAGAGCTGAAGAAAAGGTGACCAAAGTTTACCTTATCACAAACTAGAAGCTGGGAGAATGGAGGAGTGTTTACTTACTGTTGGATTTAGAGTAATGTGGGGTGCCAGGCCCGCAAGGGAATAGACATTGATGTCATGGTAACTGTACTGTGGCTGTGGTGGAACCGTGGCTGTACAAGTGGTGTTGGTAGCTGGTGTAGTAGAAGTTGCTAAATGTAAAGTAATAAAGAGATTTGAAAAGTACATTTATTGACTTTACTATAAAATTAGCTTAATATTACTAAGTGCTCATTATCTAATTAAACTAATTAAATTGGGGATGAGGGGAGGATGTAGCAGGACTATTTTTCCCTCCCTGGAAGGGAAATTGTTATTATAACAGAGATACATAACGAAGCATGTAAAACTATGTCAGTGGCAGTGTCCCACACAACAGAAACCAACTGAGCAGCCATGCCACAATATCAGGGCCAAGTCCCACAAACTTGGTCTATATTACAGATGTCTGTTTTCAACCTAGCCTGTTCCTTGGTTTATGTGGGGATTCTGAGCTGCTGAGAACTGAGAAAGAAAGAAAAGCTCAGTTTATTGTAACCACAACTCCCAGTCAATCAATTGTCCTGTACCCTTCTCCCATCTTCTTCCTGTAGATAAAATAGTCCATTCCCTTGGCAAATCAAGCAGCTCTGGCCATCCCCAGATTTAAGTGATTAACAGACCATCATCATATGCAGTTATTTCTGGGACTTCACACAACAAAGGAGATAATCTGATCTAGCCTCCTCTTCAACAAGAGATGAGAAGCAACTGATTAAATCTCATTTAGTTAATATTATGCATGAACTGCCAGGATGGAATCTAAGAAGGTAACACAAGGCCTAGTTATTACTTTTGCTTGATAATTAGAAGGCTCGCCAAAAAGTATACAAAGTTTCACCACAACATTATGTGAGAAATTACAGTTTGCTATATACGTGGACATGTACCATTTAAGAGAATATCCTGGCTAACAGGAAGCCTTCTTTGACTAATTAGCACACTTACTTGTGGTTGTGATAGGAGGGAGTTCTTCCGGCTGCTTCACATCTTTCTTTGGAGCAGAAAGTTGCTCATCTAAATTCTTCAGGCGATCTTTATCCTTTAGGAGGTTTCCAGGCTTTAGCTCATTTATGTCTAATGCAAGGTTTTTGCAGAGGACCTCAATTTCAAACTTCAAGTTTAACTGCATAGTTCAAGAATTGGATTAGAATTTTTAAAACAAAATTTAAGTTTTCTTCATAATTTACTCTACTTGCAGTTATTATAGTACTTCCCCCAAAATACCACGCATTCACTATAAGTTTCAATAATGTGAAGACAAAGAATTTTCCAGAGGACAAGGAAGTAGTAAATTACCTTTAAGTCATGCTCCTGATGTAGCTCAGCTAATACATTCATAATTGCCATTGTCCAAGGGTTTGGTGGCCTAAAAACCTAAAGAAAAGCTATTATGTTAAGTTGGCCCAAAAGGTGTCCTTTAATTTGGATTATTTAAAACAATTCAACACAACATAAAGGGGTAGGGGGAATAAAAGAAACAAAAAACAAGAATTTAAAAATAACCAAAAATAAACACTTATACTTGTGTAGCCAGAAGAAAACCCCTAGCCTTCTCACCTATATCACATTTCAAAAACAAAACAAAAAAAACCCCAAAGCCAACCATTACAATCTTTCCTATTTCACCCAGCCTCTCAAATTGGAAATCCAAGTGCCATAATGATAGGAAAACAGACTTAACTAGCTTTACCTCACAAGAACTAAGGATATAATCTCCTGACCTAGTGCTAAAACAAAACAATGCTTAGAAATTAGCCATGAATAAAATATTAGAATCTACTCACCACACTACGAATGCTAGACTCTAAGACTTTGGCAACAAAGGGCACTACATAGAGCAATTCTTGTTGTCCTTTAACATAAGCCTCTAGCAGCAATGATTTCACATCCAAGTCCTAGAGTAAGAAAAATACTTTCAAAAGCTGGGAATATACTCCCAGAAACCATTATAATGTAACCGAAGTAAAGTATTCTGCCAAGCTCATCCCCAAAACGGCAATCAAAATAATGTCTAGTCCTTGCCTTACAAAAAGGGGCGACAATTCAAAACTTGAGCCAAAATCTTATAAAACCACAGTAATAGGGCGTGGCTCAAGCCTGTAATCCCAGCACTTTGGGAGGCCGAGGCGGGTGGATCACAAGGTCAAGAGATCGAGACCATCCTGGTCAACATGGTGAAACCCCGTCTCTACTAAAAATAC